AATCATGATGGAGTGGTTAGACAATGCGAGAGATTAATAATGTCTAGCTAGTTTTAAAAACCAGAGGGAACCATGTTAGTTCAACAACCTACTGACAAATTATACATAGCAGATCAAGAAATATATTCTTAGGTAAGGTTTATCTAAGAACAATTGGTCTTTGCCCACGATTTATCTCCATAGCACACAGTAATTAAAAGTACCAGACTGGTAGAACTAACCTTCTTGGATGTTTAACAGACATACTTTCAGGCCTATACTAATTTGGTCAGAGGGACATAAAGGACAGTTTTTGCTCCTTGCCCTCCTAGGTCCACTAGTTCCAGGGGACTATGAGCATCTCCCAAAATATCCTGTAATTGTGGTGGGTCTCCTGTCCTCTTCATCAAGGAGGCTGTGGAGACCCATGAGATAGATATGAACCATTGTCCAGTCTACAAAGAGGAGGGTCAACACAGACGTAACGTTTCCTCCATGTTTCCAACCCATGCCAGCCATGGTCGAGCAGGACATTTGACTTATCTTCACATAGGTGGAACTGTTAAAAGAAAGGAGCCAGGGGTGCCTCCCAAGCCCATGTGACCCCTGAGGAACAGATCCTCAAACGACCTTAAGGGTAAAAAGAAATTGGTTTATCTGGGCCAACTGTATGGACTTAAACACCCAAAAGGAAAGTATAACCAAAGATTAAAGGGGCCAATATAATTTTTTAAGAGTCCACATAACTAAAAGGCTACATAACAAGCAACAATGCCAGATAAGACATACCTTCTTTTGAGTTTATTGGTCAGGGTGGCCCAAGGGATTCCCAGATAGTAACCCAGAATAGAACTGGGAAAATAAACAGCAGACCCCAGTCTTATCTAAAGGAATATTGACAACTGATTGCTGCTAGATGAGGAACAGCTGATCTTCCTAAAACAAAGACCTCTAGGTAGGTTGACTAGATTCACCAGATGGACAATAGTGGGTAATGGCTGGGGGTGCCGACAACACAGCGGACAGTAGCAGGGTTAACAGAGTATAAGGGCTCTAGTGGTGGGAGGGAGGCTATGGGAGGGTGTCATCTGGGAAGTGGGTGTATAGTTGAATAATATGGTTTGGGGTTTTCTGTGTGATATACACACACAGAAAAAAATCAACAAATTTTTTAAAATGTATTATTTTTGAGGAGGAAGCATAAAAGTTTACATCATGTCAATTAATAGCAGTGATGAACATTACCATTGAAATCTACCCGATGACTTTATAGACATACACAGGCACCAATGATCCAAGTGCAAACGATTATGACTAATAATAATTAGATACATACAGATTAGAGATGCGTGAGCCAACATCTCAGTGTTAGTAGCAAAAGCAATGAGTCTTTCTGTAAGAAACAGTATATTCTAGAATGAAATGGAAATCTTTTTTGAGGGTAAAAAAACTCATTCAATTTTATGTCTTACAGGGCTTATACTGAGTTCAGTATTGTACAACTGCATTGATTCAACAGCGAACCTAGAAATTTTATAGCCACTTTTGAAGGAGCTGTGTCTTTGCTCTGGAAATTGTTATTGGGCATGTTAAAAGCTGTAATGATATGCTTCTTCTAAAAATAAAAAATAATATTAAAAATGTAGGAAACAGCATATCTTGAAATGGAGATCTTCTTTAAAGGGTAAAAACTTTTCCAATTTTATATGTTATGGGGGTTATACTGAGTTCAATATTGTATAATTGTATTAATTCAACTGTGAACCTAAAAATTTACAGCCACTTTTGAAACAGATGTATCCTTGCTCTGGAGTGTGTTACTGAGTATGTCAATGCTGTAATGAAATGCTTCTTCTAATCATGTGGTTATTAAATCTTAAAAAAATTAAAAAAAAATTCTTCACAGCATAAAAATTTGCTCCTTAATAATTAGTAGGTGAGAAAAACATTACCACTGAAATCTACCTAATGACTTTATATCCATGCTCAGATGCCAAGGAGCTCAGAAAGTATCCAACTGTGACTAGTAATAATCAAATATATAGAGATTAGAAACATATGTGCAAACATCTTAGTGTCAACTGCATTAAAAATGATTTTTTTCTGTATGAAACTGTATTTTAATAATGAAGAGGATATCTCTTTTAAAGGTTAAAACCTCATTTAATTTTATGTCTTAAAAGGTTTATACTGAGCACAATATTTATTTATATAACTGTATTAATTCAACTGTAAACCTAAAAATTTATAGTCAATTTTGAAACAGATGCATCTTAGCTAGGGAAATTTTTATTGAATATGTCAATGCTGTTGTCATGAAACACTTCTTCTAATTATGTGGTTATTAAATAAATAATTAACAATTTAAAAAAAGAATCTACATGTATCTCCCTATCATTTAAAATCCATTACATTAAATGATTTTTTTTTTAAATCACAAAATAGGCAGCATTCTTGATCTGGAAAATAAAGTCCATACATCTTCTATGGCTGTTGATTGTTTCAGGAAGAAGAGTTCTCACTAGTTTGTTGTCTGTTAGACTGATCTGAGTTGAGTTGAGGTTTTGCACAGTGCTAGAGATCATACATTGAACCAATGGCCTTGTACATGCTAGGCAAGTGCTCTACCACTAGGCTACCTCTCCAGACCATATTCCTGTATTTTAATGATAGCATGAGTTATTCAGAGTAGATCTGCTGAGTTCCTCAAAGATAAGCTCTAAGATATTAAAAGTAAGTAAAGGGAATTTCATGAAACAGACCTTTCTTGACTGACTATGTAATAATTTGACAAACTGAAATAATAATGGGTTAAATACATATTGAAAGGATAGAGTGGGGGACAGCAATATAATTAGCAACTGGATGTGAGAAAACAGGGTGGTTTGTTCATTTTGTTTGTGTTTTCTATCAATAACACCTTTGAAGTGAAGTATTCTTCTAGTTCTCACCCTAAAGAGTTTTCTGAGATTTACCCACACTGTTTTAAACACACTTTCGAATAAAAATCAACAGTTAAAAAAAAAAGGTACTCCAAGGTACAAACCTGTGGGTACATTCTACTTTCTCGTAATTATTCTATGTAAACTATAAACCATTCATTTTAGGAAGCATTCAAAGTGTTCACACTCAGGCCAAACATACAAACAAAACCAAGGAGGCAAGAGAGATAGTTAAAATCTTAATAAATGATACAAAGAGAGAGAACCCCTCACCTAAGCTATTTAAATATAGAAAGGAATAAGACTCCAAGTGTAGATGCCAACACTGACTAAATAGTGACCATGTGAGATAATAGTGTTTCATATACACATTGCTCATCCATTATATAGTATTTGTCTGAAACTTTCAATACAATTGAATCTAGAAAAACCTATTAAATTTAGTATGACTGTATAAGATTATGACAGTCATTAATGAGCCAGATTTCTTAGTGAGCTAAAGATGAACTGCCTGGTTAAGAGGGATTTTTCCTTCTGTTCCCTTTTGGTCATGGAAACAATGGAAGCTAGAATGCCAATATTTAACGACCTCATTAAAAGTGTAAAAGTGACTTTTCTGTGTCTGAATAAAAGCAGGTTTGATATTTGCTAATTACTTGAATTTACACACAAATCAACTAGAATTTCATTAAAAAATATTTTAAATAAGACAACAAACTAATGTAATTTTAATGGGACTTAATAAAGGAAGAGGAGGAGGAGGAAGAAGAAGAGGCAGAGGAGAAGGAGAAAGAGAAGGAGGAGGAGCTAAACTACTTTGTTTTTCCTCAGGAATTTCCTCTGGAGCAAAAACATTCATTTTTATTTGTTATTTTTTTTCCCCATCTACTTTCCCTTTTTTTAAAAAAAAAGTAGATTGTAAAACTTAAAGCATACAGATATTAGGAGTTCCCACAAATATATTGCTATTTCAACTAATAATGCTTGGTTATTTTTCAATTTTTAAAAACATTCTTGTTAGTAGATATAACTATCCATTCGCTAAATGTCAACAGCTTGTGTTTGAGAAGAAAAGTGGTTTCCCGTTCAAAACCTAAACCTTTTAATAAACTGAAGAGTCTTTTGTTTAGTTTTTACCTGTATGATAGCATTAGAAAGAATTACAATAAAAATTGACTAAGGACAATTATTTTTTATTTGTAAGAATAAAAATGTCTGAAATATAGGGGAATATTGTCAAACCTCTCTTTTTACATACATAAACTTTTACTTTTGCCTGTAGTTTGAAACAAGGGTTTATTGTCATTTGGGGGTTGGGAAAAAGCCATAGGATTGTGTTTGTATTTGGCACAGGTTTATTTGAAATATTAAAAACTTCAGTTGTTCCTAAAAAAACTGAGGATTATCTCTCACGCAACAATATTTTCCTTAATGACAGGACAGCAGCTAGAAGTGCAAGTTATATAGCAACAGTGTGTAAACTTCACATCTAGAAAAGGTACATTCACAGCCTTGTGGAGAGTAAAATCAAAGGGTGCAGTGTTGACAATTTAACATATATATCTAGCCAGAAAAATGATGGCTCATGCTTTTCACTCCAACACTTATGAGCCTGAGGTAGAAGGATCACCATGAGTTTGAGGACAGCCTAGTCTAGGTCTAGGAAAGCCTGGGCTACAGAGTGAGATTCTGTCTCAAAAAAAAAAAAAAAAAAAAAAAAAAAAAAAGCCAAAATCAAAACAAAACAAACATGAATTTTCACTTGGGGAAAAGAGAGGTTCCTTAAAGAACTTGACTGAGGAACTGAGTGTTGGGAAGACAGCTAAAACTCACTCATTTCAAATGCATATTTAAGTGTTGTGTATTTACCACTGAAGTCACTGAATCACAAAGCCTATTTAACACGTCTCCAATTTTTATGACGATTTATCCCAACACCCTAAATGATAACATTCTCTATTGAAAGCTGGCAAAAAAGGCTGCAAAAAATAGTTGAGCACAGGCTTTCCGCACGGTAGTTACAAGTGGCTCAAAGAGTGCAGTTCTAAAATTTATTTTGATTTTCTTAAATTCACTCACTTGTGACCAATCTCATGTGCAATGGTAAAAGCTGAACCCAGGCCAATGTCTTCATTAATGCTGCAGCTCCTTTCAGGCTCACACATTCCAGCCACAGAGGCTAAGCCTGAATAAACAGAAAGAGACACAAAGGGTCAAGCCAAGGTGTTTCAGCCTTTAAAAGCCCATACTTATAAATGCCTGGATTCTTTTTAATAACCTCCATGCACAGAAGGAGCAGTTGGCAAAAGGTTAACTTTCTAGCCATTTGCAAAATCACTGGGGGGAATTTCACTTTGCCGGCTAGACATTAATATTTTTTGAACTGCAGTCAGTGCTGGAAAATGTCTAGACTAGGGGTTAGATTTATAAATTTTACTTCTGGTAACTTGGGACCACCTAGTAACTTGAGCCAGAAAAGGGAATTCAAGAAAGCATTTCTATTTTAACATTCTTCAGGCTGTAGAAAGCAAAATATATCCACATTATTTTTCTAAAGAGATCTGTTTAAGTTTAGTGGGTTCATAAAAATATACAAGCAACTTTTTAGTTAACAAAAAGGGAATCCCAAATGGTTTTTTAAAATGACACTTTATAAAAACAAAATGAGTGATTCAAAATAGAAAAAAAATGAAAGATGGGAGACTTTTGCACTTTTTTAATCTTCTGAAATTAGTCCTGATAGTGATGCAACAATTTTAGTTTGTTTTTTTTAATAGATGAAAAATCATTCATACATTCAACATAGTTTTCTTCTTCCCTTTCAATGCTTTAGTGTTTTTACTAATAAAGCAAATTTGCTGATTTTTTTTTTTTTTTTTTTTAGTGAAATGTTTGTTATTCAAGGTATTTCCCCTTGGGAACTTTTACATGTGAAACCTCTACTTCCAAATGAATATTATGCCCTGAGAATTAGTATAGTATTTTAACTCAGTATTTAGAAAGTAATTTTTGTGCACAATGAAAAATGCCATCTGTTATAAGAAAGCAGATGCCAGAATACACACAGAGAGAAGAAAAATTACTTAGAAGAAGTTGAAGAAAAAGAAAGATGGATATTTTATTGAGAAGTTCTGTTACTGTGTCACTCAAATTTTAGGAATTAGCAAGTTATTTCAGTTCAATTTAATGAATATTTACTGAGTGCAATAAGCAGGGTTCTTCTGTGCTAGGTATAATTTCTCTGTCACACTAATTGGGAGCAGTCAACACTATTCAATCCATATTTTTAACCTAGAAAGCTCTGGAAATCATGCTTCTCTGTACTTCCTCATATAAATATTAAAATAAATCTACATTGTGACAGAGTTGAGATGACTGTTAGATGTATTGATACTTGCTTTTCCTACTGTTTTATAAAGGATGGGAAGAAGTTAGAGGGGGTGGATTTTGGCCTCAGAGTTGTTATAAATACTCATGATACCCTGGTGCTGCCTTTCCATTTCACTTAAAGGTCTTAGGACCTGAAAAAGAAGACATTGAAAAGAGGGAGGAGTTGGAGCAAAATGAATTTTTTTTCCAATTAAAAATATTCAATGAGCAAGGCATGGTGATGCACACCTTTAATCCCAGAATTGAGGCAGCAGAGGTAGGTGGCTCTGTGAGCTCTGTGAAACTGAGGCCAGCCTGGTCTACATAGTGAGTTCCAGGCCAGCAGGGGCTACATGGAGACCTTGTCTGAAAAAATATTTCAATGAATGTTACTTCTAATATCCACTAAAAGAAAGGCACCCCCTACACACACATACACATTCACACACAAATATCAAAAAAAAAAAAAGTAAAAGTATTAGTCTTGAAGCTGTTGGGTTCAACATAGGCCATCATGTGGGAAAGTGAAGCAACAGTGAGCACTGTCCTATTTGAGTCATTTTTTTTCAAAGGATTACTTATAACAATTATTGTTAAACCAACATTTCTTGTATTTCCGTGAACTAGCCTTTTCTTATTCTGATGGTGATATTGTGGTGGGTTTTTCTTTCTTTCTTATTTTTGAGGGTGGGGGTCATTTTTTCTTTTTGGAACATGCTATATGACTGTATGTTCAATTAAGAATTCTTAAATGAGATGGCACAATGTATTTACAAGCACATAAATAGTTGATATCAAATAAAAAATTATTGACCTTGCTAAAGAACAACTTAAGAAAGAATATCTTTGGAAAATAACTATTGCTTTTTGAAAAATAAAGGTAAATCTTAACTAATATAAGATTCATAAACTCCCATCATTTTCTAGTTCCCTAACAACTGCAGTTGTCAGAATTCTTGTGTGTGCTGGTGTTAATAAGGTTTCATTGCTGCTTGGGTCATTTAGATTTCCTCAGTTTGATGGTCACAGTTTGCACCCTTAAACCTGCTTACCCTTTATTACAACTGGTCATCAGAGTTATAAAGCGAGAGAGTATGTGAAAAAGTCAGTATAAATGTCAACACAAAAGGTGCTAAAACAGGAAATAATTTAATTGAAATTCTTAAAAAGTAATAACCTGAGAGTCTGTACTGATATGTTTTCCACATAAGAACACCAATACATACAGATATATATGCATTTCATTCAGTTTTCACTACAAAAGATAGTTCAAATGACAATATATAATGATTTATGATTAAAATAACCTTAGTGAGCATCAAAATGCATTTATATGTATCTAGCAATTAATTTAATGCTTGCAGAAATGAATGACCAAAGTTACAATATATTATTTTGAACAAACATGAAAAAACTTAAATAGCAAAATGCCTCAAATCTTTGCCAACAATGGTAATATAAGTATTAGACAATAGTATTACTAATGTCAATAAACAGCACATCTCAGCGTAAATAATGCACCTTCATAGAACAGCATAAAAAGCGAGTTCGACCAGCTGGAGCTGTGGTCCCTTTCTATGAACCTGGAGCTGTGCCCTGCCCCGTATGTGAAGTGGAGTTGTGGTCCCCTCGAGTAAGCCAGGAACTGTGGTCCTCAACAGTGAGCCTCCACATTCCTCTGGTGGTTGGCTGATGGAACAGATTGGAGGATGGAGGACTTCCCAGTGTTGGACAGCAGCTTCATCCTTCTCCGAGTGGCTGCATTCCCCACATGCCCCTCCTACGAGGTCCCAGGTTGTGCAAGGCAGTGGCTTTCCCTCTGTGTTGGACTTTATGCTAGGGACAGGGACATTTCTGTCATTTGCAGTTTCTAGTCCTGGAAGGACACATTCTCAAGAATGGACTTCCCACCTCTCCTAATGGCCAGCTATGGTACTGACTCCACACATGGTTCTGGGCAGCCAGGCCTTGATGTTGGACCTTTCCTATTACCAGGCACCAAAAAGTTTTCCATTATTTTTCTATTACTCTTCTACAGACCAGTGTACCTTCACTTGTGCCCTACAGAAAATATAAAATACTTAATTCAATGTTTAGAGATAAAAATCACAGTCTGGGAAGTTAAAAATTTTTTAAATTTTTTCTGGATTTATTTATTTTTATTTTATGTGTATGAGTGTTATGCCTGCATGTATGTAAGTGCAGTCATGCCATGCAGTGCTCGTAGAGGACAGAAAAGGGTGTCAATCCCCTGAAACTGGAGTTACAAACAATGGTTAGCCACCATGTGGGTGCTGAGATTTGAACCCAGATCTTCTGCAAGAACAGTCAGTGCTCTTAACCACTGAGCCATCTCTCCAATCCCCCAAAAATAATTTTTTAAAAAGTAAATTCTGGAAAAATTATCAAAACATTAATAAACTTTACAGATCAAAGTAAAAAAATATTTTAAAAGGAGCTTGCTCAGGAAAAAAGAGCTCGTTCTGTGACAGGTATTTTAACTAGCAAACTTCTCCATGAGTAATTCTAGACATTGGCTAACTGAGATTTCTTTTCTTGCAATAAATCTTGAGGTAAACAGGGAGAAGCCAGGTAAAAATCATCAAGAGAGATTCTAATCTTTGAGGGGCTGGCTCAGTGAACCACTCAAGAGTTGGATAACATTCTATTCCAAGTCCAGTTTTATTGCATCTTCACAAATACTTAGTATTTTCACAGGGATTGATTTTCTAGTTATTCTCTCACAGATAAGAAAAATGAAACTTGGTGTAGAAAAATCAAAGAATTCATCATTACTTGCTTAGCTTCTGAGTCTAAATTTTCTTTAAAAAAAAATTATTTTATACCTGCTGGGCATGGTAGTGCACGCCTTTAGTCCCAGTACTCCAAGGCCAGCCTGGTCTACATAGTGAGTTCCAGGCCAGCTGGTACTACAGAGACACCCTGTCTCAAAAAGACAAAAAAAAAATTTTTTATTTACTATATTTTATTGTTTTTATTTTATGTGTATAAGTGCACCCATGTTGTGCAATGCCCATGGAGGTCAGAAGAGGGTGTCGGATTCCCTGAACAGACCGTTGTTAGCTGCCATGCGGGTGCTGGGAATTGAACCTGGGTTCTCTGAAAGAGTAGTCAGTGCTCTTAACTGCTGAGCCATCTCTCCAGCCCTGAGTCTATAAATTTTCACAATACATTTTGTTATCATAGTTATAATAATTCTTGCTCCTTGAAATAACAGTAGTTCCTTAGTTCTTCAGTCCACTGGAAAGTGATCATATCCCTTCATTTACATTTGCATTTAAGTTTAAATCAATACAAAATAATGAATTGTAGCAAAATATTTTTTAATTCTAGAGTACTTAGAAAAATTATTTTTAAAAGCAAATGATGTTATAGGAATACAAGAAACCTAATTCTGCCTTCTCTCACTGGCTATATTGTTTGACACAATTCTTTGAGGGGGCATTAAAAATATCTTAATTCATGGGGGATATACTCTTTACAAAAAGAATTATAACAAAAGAAATATTATTGATTTTTTTCTTTTCTTTTTTTCTCTGTCCTTCATTAGGCTGGGATTTCAAGAAGCTGGTTGCTTTCACTTGATATCAACCACCTTGGTATTTTTCACAAAATACATTACAAATGTGGACTATATGAAAATGAGTAATAACTTTGATTTATAATTATTAGTATTCTAAGTTGGTTTTACTCATTCCATTTGCTAGGGAATAAAAAGCTAATAAAATTTTAATTTGATAATTATTATGGGAGTAAATATTTGATTCTAGTAAATTATATATGCATAGAGATCATGTTAAACAATTTTTAGGGTAATTTCCCATGTAGTAGAAAGGAAAGCAATCAAAATATTAATAATCAACAGTTGTCACTGGTTCAAAAAGACAATCTAAACTTTTTTTAATTAAAAAAAAAAACTTACCCAAAGTTCCACAGGGCTTATTTTTATAAGTGCAGATATCATATCTATGAAAGATAAAAAAGAGATAAAATTTATAGTCTATTCAAACTTCTAAAACAACGTTTGTATATTTGCTGTATTTCTTTCTTAGAGTTCTGTTTGTTCAGACCAAACTCAATGCAATTATGAGCAGTTAGCTGGAGTTTAGGCATGGTTAGGACTATGGGGGCAAAGCAGGGTACACCCAACTTACAGCATCTGCCTACAAGTCAATAGAATACCTACCAGTAAGAAATAAAACCGTCTATCATAATGTTTAGAAGTTAAAATACCTTGTCCACAGATTGCTACTGCTTCTACCTAATGGGTGGGTTTTATTATTAACAGTCTCTTTGTACCTGCTGGAGTATTACCTTATAGTGACAGAATGTCTCTGAGCTATAGCACTATTCACAGTTCTTCAACCCTAGGATAGATTATTGATATGTATGTACTAGAAATTTAGATCTCAAAAAGTAAAATGACTATTAACTCACTTAAAATATCAATGAAAATGTAATTATATACTGAGGTAGGTTGTGGGGCTGTGGTCCATGCTAAGTAAGTTCTCTGTCACTGAATTATATCCTTGACCTTAATGTATTTTTGTTAAGAATATCTACATTTTTCAAAACAAAAATAAATTGATAAAGATGAAAAAAAAAAAAAAAAAACAGACAATGTAAGCCAGGCGTGGTGGTGCACGCCTTTAGTCCCAGCACTTGGGAGACAGAGGCAGGTGGATCTCTGTGAGTCGAGGCCAGCCTGGTCTACATCATGAGTTCCAGGCCAGCTGGGACTACAGGGAGACCCTGTCTCAAAAAGATAAAAACAAAACAAAAAAACAAACAATGTAATGATGCAAATTAGGATAATGTTACCTAGCTTTCCTAGCAGTATACTAGAAGTTTAGAATGATGAAAAAACAAATACTTTTAGAGACATTACAAATAGATAAATAAATTGCTGAATGGAATGTTTTCCTAATGGTAGCCTCTACTACTGTACTGCATTATAACTCAGTACAGAAGATGAAGTCCAGAAAGCAAGGTGCATATTTTAAAATACATTACATTTGAAATCTTGTCATTATTTACATGTTTATTTGAAGTATTTCCATAATTATATCCTTATTACCTAATTATCAATTTTTCAATATAAATATTAGAGATTCTAAAGTAAGAATTTAAAAGAGTGATTTTTTTTTCTTGATTAACACTTGAAGTAAAAAGGCTTTCAGGTTAAAAAAAATTAAGATTCAGCAACTAAAAAGAAATCCAAATTGTAAGAATTCTCTTTTATTCTTTTTAAAAATTTATTTATTTATACTTTATGAGTGTTATGGCTGCATGTGTATAAGTGCACCTGTGTCATGCCATGCCCATGAAGGACAGAAGAGGGTGTCAGATCCCATGGAACTGGAGTTATGGAGGGTTGCTAGCCGCCATGTGGGTGCTGGGATTCCAACCCGCGTCTTCGGCAAGAACAGCCAGTGCTCTTAATTGCTATCTCTCCAGCCCCCAAGAATTTGCTTTTATTCCATACAAATAATGCTTAGTATTACTGCAACAGGAGTTAGCAATTAATTGCATTGTTATTCATCAGGCCACAGACCAAAATATAATTTCAAGAAACAAAAATAACTACCCAGACCAGCAGTGTTGTTGAGCTCATTAAAATCCCTGGAGAATGCCTCTGACTATCCTTAAAATTTCCAATCCTTCATTCTGTTCATTTTGTCATGATTTGAGGAAAGGGATCTTCGTTTCCTCTTATATACACTTCTCCCGTGACCATTCACATATCCATTCCCTCAATTCTTCTCTTGCAAATGATAAACATGGATTCTAATGTTTGGAATACTCTTGAATGTAAGATATAGTAGGTACTGTTATAATCATGAAGAGACCAGAAGGTATATTCCAGGTGTCTTGATCGATTTATTTTATGATTGTAATATTACATGTTACAGTGCATAGACAACCCATTCTAGCAATTTTCAAGAAACTGTAAACAAAGACATTTCATGATTAATGCAGAAATAGATGTTAAAATGGAATTTATTTCCAAATCCTCACGTTTTTGTTCATGCCTATCCTAAAACTAGTCTGCCTAAGGATGCACTTATATTGCAATCCACCAGTTTTTCTTTCCTCATTATCCTTTCACAATTATCCTGTTTCTACTTTAAAAGAAAGCATACTTTTTCTCATTCATCCCAATACTTTTTTTCATTGATCCCAGGTGGAATTGTCTCCAGAACATAAAGGAAAGGGGCAATTCAAGAAAGCACTCATTGTAAGCTATAACTTAAGACCAAACCAAGAAAAATGGAAGAGTCTTTCCTTTCGGCTGCCATTAAGTATCATTTGGGTAGCATTAAGAGTGAGGAAGACCCAGAAACTTTGGGGCCACGTGAATCACGGTCACAGTCACATGGGTAAGCACCAGAAAGTCGAGGAGGCCGGGGTAATGCTGGTGCATGCTTCACCATTGAATCAATTTTGACAAATATCATCCCGGTAATTTTGGGAAGTTGGTATGAGGTGATACCCCTTAAAGAGGAACCAAAGTTTCTGCCCAACTGTCAACCTTGATAAACTGTGGACACTGGTCACAGACCAGACCACTGCCCGGAGTAAGATTGGAGCTGGAGCTGCCCCCCCATCACTGACGTGGTGATCTGGCTACTACAGAGTTCAGGGGAAGGGAAAGCTCCCTAGCAGCCTGTCTCTGTGAAAGCCAAATTTCCAACAGAGGAGATGAGGAGAAAAAGGGGCTGGGGACACCTGTGTCCAGGTGACTTGAAGCCACACAAGGAGGTTCATTAAATGCTAACATTCTTTTTCCAATAAGAAAAGAAAAGAAAAATTGGAGGAAAAGATGCTTATTTCATTCTGGCAAGGCTCTGTACCTTTCTGCTGGTCTTCCTGTTTATAAATTAACCTACACATCCCTCTCACAATTGGAATTCAGTGGTAGAATGACTTTCATGGAGTGTATTAACATGCTCATTGAATCTAAAACAATAATGAGGTCAAATGTACAAGACAAGCTTGACCACATTAAGTGCTATGGCAATGATGACTGAGGCAAACAATTAGATCATAAGGTGAACATTTTTCATAATTGAATGAGCAAAGTTTCAGACCACTTTAAATCCATTTAGGATGGTCAATTAGCAAAACATTAAAATAATGTATGACTTTGTGCATTTTAAATTTCATTGCTAAAATATTTATCCTAATTTTAAGGAGCCCCAGAAACCATATTAATGTTATATATTGTTCATAAGCTTTAATGAATTTTGTCAAAATTTCAAGCGGCATATTTAGCTCATTAAACTTCTGAACCTGGAGGATATATATATATTCTTTTTGAAGTTATCTTGCTGTAGTATGAACTAAATAAATAGGAGTCTAAAGGAAAAAAGATTTCACTATCCACTCTCAGGACCCTTCATACAAATCAGTATAAATCCTAACTAACATAGTATATGCCACAAATATAGGACTGAATCAAAGTTTCAAAGTAGGCAAAGAAGTATACTGAAATCCACAAAAGCAACCCCAAAGTTAAAATGCAATTAGAAAAGGCCCTCTAAGGTCTGGTGAGATGACTCAGTCAATAAAGTGCTTGTCAGGCAATCATGAGGTCCTGAGTTCAAACGCACATGCCTGTAATCCCAGTGCTAGGAAGACAAAGACAGAAGGATCCCTGCGACTTTTTGGCCAGCCAGTCTAGCTGAATCAGAGAACTCCAGGTTCAGTGTGAGATCCTCATCATGATTTGATGGTTTGCATTAATAGTGTTCTTTTAATAGTAATATAATAATCACAACTCTAAGCAAGTTTAAGGGCTTACATTGAAATAGATTATGGATTCAAATGCTTTGTATGCATTATTTTTCCCACAGGAAATATATGAGGCATATTAAAACTATATGTATGCAAACTAAGATTGAGAAAGTATACCTGAGTTCAATATGGGGTAGCTCATCTGGTCTACTTGATATTAATGCATTGTGCTCAATCACTGTATTGTGAGCTTCCATGATGGAAGTTGAAGGTAAAAGAGAATTATTCCTGTTATAAAAGTTTTTTAAACACTTTTAAATATTATTTTTAATTTGTTTAAATTTTTCCTATGAATAATCTCTCTTCTCAAATAAATCATGAATGAATCATTTAAAAAAACAAATAAGGTGGAGAACAGTTGAAAAATGGTCCTCTAAACTCTGTATTTGGATAGAAAAACAGGACCTTATCAGTGTGGTACATTATTTGCTTTCTTTTCCTGAAAAAATAACAAAGGTTTAAGAGCAGATGATAAACCATTAATAAATAGGCATAGGAAATGGCTTAGTTGGCACCAGGACCTGAGTATGACTCCCATAACCCATGTGGCACTGGAGAGGCAGAGACAGGCAGATCTTTGGGGCTTGCTGGCTAGCCAGTCTAACCTACTTGGTGAGCTCCATGCCAGTGAGAGACCCTGCCTCAAGGGAAAGGTGGGAAGTACCTAAGGAACAAGACTCAAAGTTGTTCCACATGCACACATCAGTATACACATGTGCATGAGATACATGCAAACACACAAAGAAAACTAACAAGCAGGATACATAGGGAAGCTATCTGAGGCCTAGCGTTTACATAAATCAGGATTCTTGTTTTGGATAAGTAGATGAATGCCTTTGTCGCCATTCCTTTTCCCTAATAAGGTTGGATTGAATGAACAAAATCAAAACCAAAGAGAATGGTTGAATATCTGTGACTGTAACATTGGTATATTTTTCTATTATGGATACTTTTGATGCTTTCTTAATCATTTTTGTCAGTCCATGACTATCAGAAGAAACTGACCAAAACAGATGACTACATTCCATTTTGAGGTGGTAAAATATAGCACGGGCTTACAATGACAAAACACTTGCAGTGAAAAAAGAGAAATATTTATATGGTCTGATGTTTATATCCATAGACTGGGCTGCTCTCAACCTTGGTTGGAGAAGCTTCTTTTTGTAGTG